CAGGACTACCACAAAACCATCTGAGAGTCCCATCTGCTTATCAGGAAGGTTTATTGATGCTTCCAGCTGGAGGGAGAAAGAGTTTGGGTTTTGGTTTTAAAGTGGTTATTCCTCCCTATTACCAGCCCCACCACAAAACAAGCTGGGTACCACCTTTTGTGCTTTCTTAGGTAAAAATCAGCAAAGATTACTGCAGAATAGACCTGATTAAATTAGTCCTGACCATCATGGAAAGAATGAGCTTTAATCTCACTTCCTTCACCTCCTAGTTAATTCCTTCCCTGCTCAGAGTGGATTTCTCTCTTATTCACTCCAATGGGAACTGGCTCTGCTCTAAGCCCAGAGCTGGGCCAGATTGCTGTTTCCCCCTCCACAGCCCAGCACAGTTCCTGTTTTTCCAGCCTGTTCTACCACTGCACATTCTTTGTTCCAGTTATTACCCAGCCTGACTGGCCAAGTGGTGAAAAGCAGCCTCCTCACCTACACTGATGTTTCCCAGCACCCTAGGAGCTTTCTTCTACCCTGAAGAGCAGCTCATGCTTTTCATGGGCTCCCTTGGTGGGATTGCTGTTTGTCCCCTGCAGACAAGGGGTGGTCATAGAATCACTGAGGGTGGAAAAGACCTCTAAGATCATCGAGTCCAACCATCAACCCAACACTCCCATGACCACTAAGCCATGTCCCCAAGTGCCATGTCCACAGGTTTCTTGAACCCCTCCAGGGATGGGGACTCCAGCACCTCGCTGGCACCTCCTCACTCTGCCAGGAAAAAATTCTTCCTAAGATCCAATCAAAACCTCTCCTGGTGCAACTTCAGCACAAATCTACTCCTGTCCTACTGGTGGTTCCTTGGAAGAAGAGACCAACCCCCACCTCACTCCAGCCTCCTGGCAGGGAGTTGTAGAGAGCCAGAAGGTCTCTCCTCAGCTTCCTCTTCTCCAGGCTCAACACCCCCAGGTCCCTCAGCCCCTCCTCACAAGCCATGTTCACTCTGGATTTAAAATGGTCTAAAAGGGCAGGTCTTGCCTTGATGTTTGCAAAGATACAAGACCTGAGCTAGGCTGTGACAACTCAGGGCATCTGGGCCAGTTCTGTTTCAACATGGTGCAGCCTTCTCCTAAAGTAAGTTGAAAAAGTAGCCACCTGCTTTTAAGTTAGCTGGCAGCCTAATTCTGAGCTCTTGAAAGAAAAATAGTCTTAATTAAAAAGGGGCTCCCAAGCCTTATGGTTGTGAGCTCTCCCACATTCCACTGCCTGGGACCACACTGAATTTAACAGCAGATTAAACTGAATTTGTTAAGATTTCTCACCTTGCTTACACCAGCTGAAACTTCAAACCTGCTTGTCTCAGGGAATAGCCCCCACGACTTCCCAATTTTATTTGTCTTTGATGGAATTACCTAATAAGATCATTCTCTGAGCATGTGGAACCAGTGCAAGCAGCTTACAGCTTTAGGTAAATTACAGAAAGATGCAACTTCCTCACTGAACCTTTTCCCTGAGCCAAACCCAAGGTAAAAAAGCTTTAAATAAAGCCCATTGGTGGGAGAAGGTACAAGCACCTCCACTGATCAACACCACTAATGAATACCAAGAGATACTGAGACAAATCTCAGCTTTACATGAGACTTCTGAGCCCCCAGATGTGTTTCAGGTCTGGAAGTAAATGAACACCAGCACTGAAACCAAGGGATAACCACAGGAAAATTTCATTTTTAGGCTAAAGCCACTGGAATGTGAAGAGCAGGGCTGGGATTTAAGAGACAAGCCCAGAAGTATGTCTCAGATACATACTAACCACGGGAGGAAAAGCAGGTTTATGTACAGGCACTGGAAATGAGGATTGGTAAGAAAAACCCCAGATCTCACTGGAAAAAAAAAAACCCCAAGCATTTAACATTCAGTGAGGAGAGAAAAGCAAACAAAAAACCAGACACCGTGTTGTACTTTTTTTGTTTTTATAGAATTTTTACAATATATTTCTCTTCATTTGCATATTTTACCCACATCTGTAGCTTTCTTTTTACATGTTGAACTGAAGTGGAATAAATCTAAAGGTCTGATATATTTCAAACAACTGATAAAAATTGCAAAGTAGTAAACCCGTAAGAAAAGAAATTATAAAACTCTTTTGGAAGTGTTTAATGAAAGCAAGTCAAATGTATCATTAGGAACAAGATGGTTTGTTTTAAACACAGCTAGAGGTGATTCAGGCCTGACAACTTTTTTTTTTGTTGGTTTTTCATTCTTTTTTTTTTATATGAGGCACATTTTTTTCAGCATACCTGTTTCCCAGACAGCTTTATACTGTTCAATAATATCCTCTGCATCCACTGGGGACAGCTGCAAGATTTTCAAACTGTGGTTAATCACAAAGATTCATTATTGGTATTCTCTTCCTCTAAAACTATCAGAAGGAAAAAAAAAAAAATAATCAGTGTTTCTCATCTCTTAAAAAATCCAGGATGAATGATTTGAGTCGTAAGGCAGCAACAGATTCAGTGTCAACTCAGGTCACAGTCCTTCAGTTCCATCTAGTGGGTAGAAATTACATTTAGTGGACACTGCTCCTAGACAGTCCCTTCAGGGCAGGACAACTGACTCACAAGGCCAGTTACTGCTGGTAGAGTAAGTGGTACACCCAGGAAGGAACACTGGCCACTCCTGTGTCATCCTTGCAGCCTCATGTCTTCAGACAGAAAGCAAAAAGACAATCCAATGAAAAAAAAAAGTGACTATGATAGAGCCATGACAGGTTCTATGAGTGGTTTATTTACAGTCTTCATCCCTGATGTGAGAAAAGAAAAAAAAGCCTTCTTGGACTAAACCAGGCAGATCTCAGCAGCATGCTACATGCCTCAGCACATCAGCCCCCTGCATATCCCTGACTGCTCAGCCCTGGGCTCCCAGAGGCAGTGAGGAGAAAGTCCTACAGCTCAGGAAGAGCAACTTCAAAATGCTCACCTGTCCCTTCCACCAGCTCCCTACAGCAGGCTTAGGAAGGTCTCATTTTGGTGGAGCAGCTCCCCACCCCCAGTGCCTGCTCATGCTGTTAGGAGTGGGGGACAGTTGGGTCCTCAGGGACCTCCCCTGCAGGGAAACTGCAAACTCAGAGAGGTTACTGGGATGTGGGGACAGGGTGATCCATGCATTAAAGGTATGTCCCAGCTCTGATAATTCCCTTCCCACTGGGATGTCATTCAGAAAGGAAGGAAGCCTTCAACCTTCAACAGCAGGACACTCCAGGAGGGGTTGCAGAGTGGTTTCTCTCCACCTCCTTTCAGCCTTGGATAAGCAGTAGCTTTTCCTGAACTCTAGCATTCCCATTTGCTAAGAGGAATTCCTGAAGGCAATGGCTTCAGCATAGTGTTTCTTGGTCTTCAGTTTTAAGTCTTTCAGGTAGGATAATCACATTCTGATTCAACCTCATCCCCTAAAGATGCATTCATTCACTTTGCACTCAGCGGGCTGGACAGAACTCAGAACATCTTCAACTACAGCATGAGAGGCCATCCAATAAAAGATGTATTACTGCATGTTTCCCTCTCAGAGGGAGACTGGAGCACCCTCAAACTTTAGCCCCAGCTGATAAGACCATCAATTCAGAGCTCATCCTCCAAAGTGGTGCTCATTGCATGTTGCTGTTCAGGCACCACTCCCCTTTTGGTGACCACCAAGGGCCATAAGGATATTCCCTTCTGACAGGGCCACTGCCTTTATACAACTTGCATCCAGTTTTGGTCGCCCTTATTTTATTGATTTTTTTAATAATCCTAACATGGAGGTGAGGAAGGGAAGAGGACAATAATCTAGCATAAAATTTCTCTGAAGTGATACCTGACAAGACCAGCTCTGCGTACTGCGTATACAAAATACACCCCAAAATACTTCTGTGTTCTTTCTAACTCTTTGGAAAGGGAATAACCAGTGGAGTTGAGCAGGAAGAAAGCCAATTTATTTCCCTATAGAAGGTCTGCAATCCATTCCATGTTCACTCAGAGGAATGCAGTTATTGCTCTATAAGAGAAGACTGGATTATCATCTATCCCCACGCGGAGTGCCAGGAGTCCAGGTTCTAAACACCACCAAGAAGGACCCCCTAAGCCACTGAGTATTGAAATAGTTAAAAGAAAAAAGCCTCATGAGTAATTTCTTGTAAAGATGTGATCTTAAGAAACATCTAAGTTCCTCAGTTCTTCATATTAGCAGTGCTCTGGGAACGGAGCCTTTGCTCTCTGCACTAGGATAATGTCCTACTTGTCTATCATTCCATGATCCTGTGATCTCTATTTAGAATAACACACTGGAGATATAAATTAAGGTAAGAACAGATGATCCAGCTGACTGAATCAAAGAACAGGAGAAACATTAACCTCTTGCAAGAGGATGCTCTGGAACTGGAATCCTTCACCGCTGTGCGAATCACCCAGAATTTGTTTTACAACCTGCAGTTTAGTAAGAAATAAATTCCTTTTCCTTGGGTACTAGCCTTCAAAGCAAAAGCAAACATGACATGATTCAAGTGTGGACCATTTCTGCACCAGCCCACTAGGCTCTGGTTTGCCTGTTTCAGTTCAATGATACATCATAGATGCTGCTGATGGCACCACTCTGAGTTCAGCAGCACTGTCAAAGCTGTCACGTTCCATCAATCAAGTTTCCTTGGGAGCAGATGACACCAACATGGGGGCCTTCCATCCTCATACTCCAACTACCTTCTTGCATTTACTTCCTCTGAATAAAAAACCAAAATATTGTTCTATTTACTCTAACATGCTACAATATGTGCATACATAACTGTAGGCGACGCGTGAGTTACTTCAAGATGTGCTTTTTGTTGAAGTGAGCTTTACTTTTACAAATTCTACATCAAGGTGGAAGGAAGGAAGGCTGCAGAGTGCTGATGCTGAAGGAGCTTTTCCTCAACGGAGTTAAGCTGTTTGTTCCCAGGTTCCTATGGACAAACTACTCTATCCCATGCACTCCGGCCTCAGCCAGTATTAAACATTCCAGAAACTTGTCGATTTGTTTGGATAGTTAATGGCAAGGCTGATAGCAGCAATGTTTTTCAGGGCCTAGAAGAGAAGGAAAAACAAAATCACCTCAAAGATTCTCCTCAGTCCAAAACTGTCAAGAAATCTGTGTAGGCAATTAAACAGAAATGGGTAAATAACCATCCTGGTTCTACCCGGTCACCTCCTGCCAGCCCAGGGATTGTCCCATCTCCAGGCAGTTTCAGGAAGAAAACTGCATTTCCAGCTGCAGAAAGACCAGCCCCCTTCCCTACATCCATGTTTTGGCAGTCAAGAGGTCAGAGGTCAGTTCAGTAAAACAAGTGTACCCATTGACACCCTTTTTGGGGCACTGACTATTAAAGGAGCACAGCATTTGTTCAGTCACAACTTTCAGGGGCTTGCCAGTGTACTGTAAAGCCCCCAAACATTCATGTCTACTTTATAAAATTCCACTGGGCAACTGGAAATCATTCCTTCATTTGGGAGGAAAAACCTCCCACATCAGTACAAGTTACAGATGGATCTGTTGGAAAGCAGCTCTAAGGAGAAGGACCTCGGAGTCCTGGTGGACAACAGGTTCACCATGAGCCATCAGTGTGCTCTTGTGGACAAGGAGGTCAATGGTCTCCTGGGGTGTATTAAGAGTGTGGCCAGCAGGTCGAGGGAGGTTCTCCTGTGCCCTAGAGAGGCCATATCTGGAGTACTGGGTCCAGTTCTGGGCTCTCCAGGTCAAGAGAGACAAGGAACTGCTGGAGAGAGTCCAGCGGAGGGTTCTGAAGCTGCTGAGGGGCTGGAGCATCTCTGTGCCAGGACAGGCTGAGAGCCCTGGGGCTGTGCAGCTGGAGAAGCCTCAGAGGGGATCTGATCAACGCTGAGCAATGTCTAAAGCGCCCCGGGGGGCACGAGGCGTGCCCAGTGACAGGACAAGGGGCAACAGGCACAAACTGGAACCCAGGAGGTGCCACCTGAGCAGGAGGAGAAAATTCTCTGCTGTGAGGGTGCAGAGCCTGGAGCAGCTGCCCAGAGAGACTGTGGGGTTTCCTTCTCTGCAGAGATCCCAAACCCACCTGGCTGTGACCCTGGGCACCCTGCTGTGGGTGAGCTGCTGGAGCAGCAGGGGGGTTGTACTACATGGTCTCCAGAGGTCCCTTCCAAACCCCACCATTCTGTGATCTGTCCTGGCTACCAGGAAACCACCAAGCCCCCACCTCTGGGGCTGTGCAGCCTCATTACCTGTGCTGTGCAGCGATGAAGATGATCTTCAGTATTTAAGGCAAGCAAATACTCCTGTAGAGATCCAAGCTCCTGCAGCCAGAAAGCACTCAATGAACACCAACATTTCAACCAAAGATATCATCCCACTAATTAACATTAAAATGCTGATCATTATGGCAGTCCACAGGAACAAAAGGTATCAGAACCACCCACAAGAATCTCCTGGCCTAGAACACAGTTTGTGACCACAGAAATCAGTTCATTACAGACTGTTCATATGTGATGTTCAAAACCAACTTAAGGAAAACCACATTCAAATTCCTTTAAATTAATTATTAAATCAGCATTCCTCTCAGACTCAAAAGTGGCCTTAGGGCTTAATGACTTAATTGCACAGTAAGAGTCACAACTGTTACTTCAGGTCCCATGAGTGATAAGGTAACAGTAAGCATGCTCCTCTACCAGAATGTGCTGCCACACTCCAGAAGAGAAAGTTTTTAATGTTTCTGAAGCATTTCATGCTCCTCAAGCTCTGATGAGCTTTGGCAAGATAAAGGAAAGCTGTGGTTAATTTAACACTGAACAACGTTGTCATTCCCAGCCCTGGGGAGAGGGGGGTACAGACACAGGAGCTGCTTACAGTAACTCTGTTCTCTGTTACAAAGAAGAGTTCTGCAAGTGCACGATGAAGAGGAAGGAGAATTCCAGGCTTGGCCATGTCATGATACAGGTTGTTTTCCATATGGGTGAAAAGCTGCCAAAGTGGCTTCAACAAAGTGAGGTCACAGTCCCTAAAAGAAAAAAAAAGTAACTTAAATGTAACAGTGAGTAACCATGATCTTATACCTGTTTCTGGGAGGGAGGAAAAAACCCAACCAAATTTAAGAGTCAAAACTGTATGGGTTTGATCAATTAGATGTATAAAGAATTGTTTTTACATCTAAAATCTAAGCCCTCAGTCACTGTGTTTCAGCACAATGAATTTCACTCTGAGTCAGTGAAGTGGAGAAAACCTCAAATCCATGAATATGTCTAAATGGCTGCTCTAGAACTGAGCAGTCTCCTGAAATGAGGACTTTAAAGTAATTCCATACATCACTTGGCTATATGCTCTAGTTCCACTGCTTGAAATTGTACAATATTGAGCTACAGCACTGAGCAGCTGTTGTGTACAGGGCAGACAGACAAAAACTGATACACAGCTTTCGAAAAATGCCAACTCTGCCTCCTTCCTACTCCTGAGTTAAAGCTAGTCCAATTCCCCTGCAATGGTTTTATGCAATTGTCCATATTTATTACTATATGGAACATACTTTATGATTTCTCTTTCCAAAGTAAGCCAGTAGGATGCTGGTATTTTCATGATTTTGCTTGTTCTGAACTGAAAGGACAGAACTGAGAAGAATGTCAGTGTTCCAGCATTGTTGTCTCTGTTCCCAGCTTTTCCACTGAGTTTGTGACCAGACATGTGTAAAATGCCATAAAAGCTCAACCTTTTTTTGACTGTGTATTCCTCTACCATACATAATTAAGCATGAGCACACCTATCCCTTCCAAAACTCAATTACAGGCTTAATGGTACCACTAAAAACAATAACTGAGAAGTTATTTACTTTCCAGAGAATGAGATCATTGTTTCAAAAGTTTATTATTTCATCCTCACCTTAGTTCTGTAATGTAAAAAATGAAGTACGACTAACACAAAGAGAATAAATTTCTAGAAAATTAACTGAAATCCATTTTTTATCCTGTTTCAGGGTGATTTTTTTTTAAACAGCATTTGAATTCATTGGACTTACTTCGTTGGAGCCAAGAAAGAAAGGAAAATGCTTTCAAAAAAAACCCAACTTATAATAAGTTTTTGCTATCAATGCAATATAAATCGTATCCGAAAGGCAAATTAAGAATGCCTACTTCAAATCATGGTTTTCTGGCTTCAAAATAACACCAGCTCAGTCACTTTTTCTTCTCCTGCCCTTTGCCTTTTGGTGTAGAGCACAGAGCCCTTACCTCTGGGTGCTGCACTGCACTATCTTGAGGAGCAAGTGGATGGCCTTCAGGCGCTGGTGGCCAGTCTGGCGACACGCCACCCCCACCTGCCACTCCCAAATCCTGGCCAGGGGGAGGTGAGGAACTACCCTTTCCTCAGACAGCATCTGCTTTAGAATTTCAAATCCTGGAACAAAATAAAAAAATAGAGCAGTTGTTACTTTTCTTAGGATCCATTCTGTTTGTATGTTCAGTTTTCTCTTCTAAGTAGACTAGGTATTGTTTTGGCAAGCAAGAAATACCAAAGGAAAATATCAAATTGAAACCTGAGATAATTCTAGATTGCATCCTGACACTGCAAGTCTTTTCTGGGACTAAACTTAGATAAAAATTAAAGAATCCTATCTGAAATGAAAGTGTTGCCCAAATAGGACAAACCAACCACAGGTCCTCATTATTATGTGGTGTGCAGTAGAGGTTTGTTGATTACAAATAATCTACCAGCCTCAATTATATTAAAAAGAGGTAAACTCTAAAATAAACTAACAAAACCTTTCATGCTCTTGTCTAGAAATTAGATCCAGAACCAGCCTAACCACTTGTGGCTGCAATAATTTCTCTCCCAACTCCAGTGCCTTGGAGTGTTTACTAAATCCTGGGTGTAATTACTGCCATATAATGAGACTTTGAAAGCACACAACATTGTTACAATTGTTCTCCCCAAGTCTCTGTGAAGATTTGCTATTTCCAGCATAAAGTCACAGCAAGTAAGAAATACTGCTCAAATTTCAGCTTGAACAAAACTAATCCTGTTATTCCCAAAACACTGCAGAAAGCAAATTCCAAGTCAAAAAGAAGGGATAGCCACGAGTTGGTCACAACTCAGCAAAATGACTCCAAAAAGTCCTCTCCAGTACATTCTGAGCAGTGCTTACCTGTCTGAAACCTTCCCAGATGACCTGCTGTCACTGTAAACTTATAACCCCACTCAGTGTTGCTCATGTCAGAAGTAAATCTGTAATAGAGTGTGTCTCCTGTGTGCAAGGGAAGGAAGAAAACCCAGATTAATACCTTCCAAGTCACTTTTCCTGCCACAAATAATAAAATGTTGGTCATAAATTAATTCTAGCTATCATCATTCAAGAAGAGTGATCTTTTATTTTTTGGTAATTCTGAAATGCACAGAACTGAACAATCAACAGGAGGCTGAAGTAAAATGCAGAATGGTTTCCACTTTATGAAGACACTTAAAAGTGTAGAGACAATGTCTCTTATTTTTGTCAACTACATAGAAGAGGGAGTTAAAGAAACTCTGTTCAAAGCTAGACCTTGGCCCAGGTTGCCCAGAGAGGTGCTGGAGGCCCTATCCCTGGAGACATCCAAAGTCAGGCTGGATGAGGCTCTGAGCAACCTGCTCTAGTTGGGGATGTCCCTGCTCACTGCAGGGGGGTTGGACTAGGTGACCTTTGGAGGTTCCTTCCAACTCAAAGCATTCCATGATTCTGCAATCCACAACTTCACAGAGATAAACACCAGCAGTTTGCTGTAATGCTGAACAAAACACATCCTTACCTACTGTGCTCTGTAATATTGGATATGGTTAAAACCTAGAGCTTCCTTCTGATCCATGAGCAATCCTACCACCCTGGGACAAGCATGCTGGCTTTTATTGGGAAGGAGAATTTTCAAGTTTCACCAAGAAGACAAATGCTGAAAACATTGTTTAGGATTTAAAACAAAACCCAAATATTTAAAACCCTGTTCCCCTTTTCATCATGAAATGGAGCCACTGCTCTTTCCTACTCCTAGGAGTTCTGAGAAAGCCCTCCCACCAAATGCAAAGCCCAGAAGCCTTCAAATGCCTGGTTTCAGCTACAGCCTGCTGAGTGAAATCAAGAGCCTTAATCCAGGCAGCCTTGGCTGGAAATGAAGTTTCACAAGGTAAAACTCAAGTTTCACAGCCAAGGCTGCTCCAACACAATAGGCCTCAAAGTTCACTTTCCTGGCAAGCCTCTGCAACTATGTGGGAGGAAAAGGAAGACAGAAAGAAGTTCATAAAACCCCAAAACGTTTCTACAGAGCGCACATTTGTTTCTAACTAGCACCTTGTAACCCAAACCACTTTGGGAAGAGAGTTCCTAAATCTATTTACAGCTCCAGGCAGTACTCAAAGTAGAAGCTTCCTGTGACAGCACGGTGCTCAGTGGGTTAAAACAACCTCCCAGGAGCAGCACGGGGCGTGCAGCCCTTCAGCTCACTGCCTGTTATCAAAGCCCCACGTGGAGAACACAGACTGAAGCTGTCAAAGGACTGATTTTTTTTTTTCAGCCACCCTCCGTGGCAGCAACTGGAGACAAGGCACTGGCACACACTCTGTTTGCTCTGAGCACTGGTACAGCACAGACAAGAGATAAGCCTATCTTGCCTTTTTTTTTTTTAATGTGCTTCCTGTGGAAACTAAGACAAGGCAGAAACAATGTGAGTGAATATCGTGCAGAGCAAGGACTGTGCTGGAACACAATCAAGATCAAAATTTTTTTCCAGTAGCTGAGTGCATGCTTTGACTGAGGCATGGAAAAAAAAGGTCAAGCAGCTGAACAACAGATAAGCCTCCATTTAAGAAACAAACGTGAGAGCAGCACGTCAGAGCAAACAGACTGGGACAAGAAAAGGATTTTCTCTTCCCACACGTCTCAGGACCATCCACATTTAACTGTCATCTTTCAGCAGTTTCTCTCAGAAGTCCTGGATTCCAGGGATCCTACAGAACCTGAATCCTACAAGGTGTGCACTTTGAGACACTGCAGATTCACCTGGCAGCTCAAAGTCGTTCCATTTCTGTGGAGAGCCACTGAAGCTGTGCCGATCCTGCTGGAAATCACTGCTGCTGGACATGAGCAGCTCATCACAGCCCTCTTCTGTGTTACACCGAGGGTCAAACTTGATGGAGAGGTAGATAGCACCAGGAATGTGAACTTTATCCTGAGAAAAAAAACACATGATCCTCATATACCATAATCCCATATCACCAAGAAGCTACTGAACTTTTACCGTGCAAATGAGGGAGACATAACAAGTATTACAGCATCTCCATGGGGAAAAAAAACCTCTTCAATATTTTTATCCACAATTTAACAAATTAGCATGTTCTATTGTTTGTGTTAGCTGTTAAGCCTGTAAAATTAATTGCTAGCAACGCATTGTTTTTTTAAAAGAGGTAATTGTTGCTGATATTGATCTCGCTGCCAGAGCCTACAGCTTCATATGCATTTAAAATAAAAATCAGAAGAGTCAGAGCTGCAAGGAAATGAAAACTCCCATGACTGCCTGGAGGCAATAATTACTTACCAAACTATATTAGAAAAATGCTTTCAAACAGTATCAAGAGAAGAAAATCAGAAACTGTTTGTGTCAGGAGGAGATAATCTAAAATAAGAAATGCAAGGAAAAAAAAAGACTCCACTCCTAGCTTTGGTCTAACAGCACAAGGAAGTAACAGGCCAACAGAAACAGATCTCTGGATGAAAAGGTAGAAGTATTTGCTCATGAAAGCCCTGAAACCATTTAAGAATATGACCTGCTTCAAACACAAGCACAGTAAAACCATTTAAACTATGCACGTTTCACATGATTGGATTGGGACTCCATTAAAGTGCCTTGTTGAACATTATCACAGGGCAAGACCCCAGTCATCTGGCATCAACCTTTTCAGAAGCAAGACTGCAGAGATACTCCAGAGGTGCTCCAAGACTGTCCCATGGGTAGACACATGGAATTGTGCTGCCACAGGCAGGACTCACCTCGAAGTTGGTGTTGTTGTTGTAGGGGTGCCTGGACTCGCGCAGCTGGACGGCCATGCCGGGCTCCTCCATGAACTGGCAGGCTGTCAGGGCCATGGTGCCCAGCATGCCCTCACTGCACCCCTGCAGCACCTTCTGGAGAATCTGGGGAGGGGCAGCACAGCGTGTAAATGCCATCTGCTGTCAAACCCACATTTCCAAACCCACTTGCTGATGATTGGCAAGAGTCGTTTCTAGGCGCGGAACGTTTTGGAAGAGAGAATCAAAGTTGCTAGCAAGGAACAAGACAGATTCACCAATGATGTCTGCAAGTGTCACTGCTGTAAGTGCAGGAGATTTTACTCTGTCCCCTGTTCCAGATCTTTCTGGCTTTGATAAAAATGTGACAGCTCTTAGCTACATTTCTTTCCACAAATGCTAGAATCAAGGCTAATCCATAAAGCAACTAACAGTAAACCAACACTGCAAACAAGGTAGAAAAACAACTTTGCTGACATACTAAACAGACACCTTTACCTTCTACACCTACAGGTTTTGATTTGAATTGAATATGTCATATGTTGTAGCCTTCAAAATGTACAACTCCCCATACAAGAAGAACGAGTAAGTATCAGTTAAGTGGCTGCAGTGTTTGAAAGCACTAGATGCAAGAGCTGTGTCTTTAAAAACACAAATAAATGTCATTGAATGTAGGACACACTAAATGCTAATTCAGAACAAGCTGAGCCTCCACTTGTTCTTATTTTTCCAAAGTGCACAAAGGCTCTGAATCAGGAGTCCTGCCACTCCAGGCTCTTTCCAGTTCATCGTAGCAACCTGCTGCATCTCTTCACCTGCAATTGTCTAACTCCTCCTATAAAACATAATAACTAGCTCAGACCAAAAGGTTCATCTCTAAATCAGCCAGGAATTGATTCTGTGGGGAAAAGGAGTATAAAAACAAAGGTAATATGTAGCAGAGTGTGTTCTTTCCTCCACGCACTTGCAGAAGAGCCTAAGGAAGTCTACACTTTTGTATTTAATATCCCTGAACAGATTTTTATTCTATCAGTTCATCCTGTTGTTTTCTGAACCTATATAAACACCCTGTGGCAACAATTCCAAGGACATACTGTGTCAAGAACCAGTTCTTTTGGTTTGTTTTGGACCTGCCACTTATTACCTGAATCTGACACTCCTTTGTTTTCTTACTGGGAGGGCCAGTGAACAATACTTGCTGTTAACTTTTGTATGCTGCTTACTGGTTTAGAACTACAGAGAAAGAGGAACAGACTTTTCATTGCTCCTCCTCCCTCAATGTCCCCACATCTAGGCACAAATCTAGGATGAAGAAAACTAGGTGGTTCCTCATACTGATGTTATTCCATGGCTATAATGATGCCTGCCACTCTTCTCCAGACCTCTTCCAGTTAGACTGCATCTTTTTTTAAATGAGATGAGGGAGTCAGGTCACATCCTGTAATCCAGAGGAGAGCACCAGACTGGCTCAGTGACATACTGATGCCTTCTGGTTTATTTTTAATCCCTTCTTTGAAGAATCACAGCACTTGGTTTGCTTTGACTGCTGTGAAGCACTGAGCTGACACTTTCATTACAAATTACTATTGTAATTCTAAGAGCATTTCCACCACAGTAACAGGCAGCTCATCAGTGAAGTAGCAGGTATTATAATATACACACTGAGATCTAAGAAAAAGCAGCTTTCAAAATGGACTGCCTGCTTTACCAGTTTCTCCCCAAGACTTATTTTTCCATAGAACTCTTAGAGAACAGAAAGAGTTGTCACAGAGCTAGTTCTTCCATTTTCTGTTAACAAAATCAGGACATTAAGACACTGACAGATTCTAACTGCTTTCTCAGAACTAATTTAAAACTTGTAGTTTCAATTTAGTTTAAAAAAGGAATTGGAAGTATTTTTGTAAGGCAGAGTCTCGTGGCACGTAGGCACGGGGCTTGTTCACACACATAAGCAAAATCCACTTACTTTTTCCCATAACTGCTTTTCCTCTAGCTGCATAAGCATGTCCAGTATGTATGTCATATGGGCTGGGCCACTAAGATCTAGGATTTCCTCATTTATTGCCACATCATCTGGCCACTCAGCTAACAACGATGCCAGCACATGCCTGGCGTAGAGAACAGCGGTCGCCTCGTTGACACGATACAGGTAGTCCCTCACAGCCTTCTTACTCCTGGAGTCCAGCTCCTTGTGCAGGAGGATTGAGCTCTTGGTGCGACGTTGCTTGGCATAACTGAGCTGCAGGTCACTCTCTGTGTTGGTTATCAGCTTCTGGGCAACTGGATTGGTTTCTTCTGTGGCTTTCTCACAGAGCGCAGGCTTTGACTGCAGAAAAGAAATGCAGGCTTGGAAACAGGCTCTCAACAACTTACTTCCTTCTATTTGCATAGCTGATTGGTCCCTCAGACTGTAAGTTGAATTTACAAATGAATTTATTTTTTATAAATACATCAAGGAACACAGAAGTGTGATCTCTCACACACCTACAGGGGCAGGAAGCCTGTTTATATCAACAGACTTCACTGTACACTGATTCATACACTGTACACAGGAGCAGAAACCACAGTTTGAATTCCAACCACATTAGAATTCCAAGTGTCAATTTAAGCTGACCTACAGAGGTAAAGCCAAAGCACCACGCCATGTGTGGCACAGAATGAGCCAAGCTGGGAGGGACCTCTGGAGATCATTCGGCCCAAATATGACTGAGCCAACTTCAAAACCAAAGGCTTTGTCTAGTGAAGTTCAGAGAATTTCCTGGACAGCATGTTTCAAAACCTCTCTATAAGCTGTTTTAAGGCAATTTTTTTTTGTTGTTTGGTGGTGGTTTTTTTTGGTTTTGTTTTTTTAATTATGTGAAACTACTTCAGGAAGCCCTTGATCCACTTTGGTGTGTAACTGATAGACCCTGGGTGGTGCTACCACACAGCCAGGAATCAGCTCCTGAAATAAAGCCAGGAGTGGTGGGACCATGCTACTGAATGCAAAGCCTAAAGTTTGCAAATGTACTGCCTGCTTTACAAGAGAAATTCATTGCTCCCTGGTGCTGCTGAAATTACTGTAAGATAATAATATGCTAAAGCAGTAACACTTGTGGCATAAGCTTACAGTAATTAGATACAATCTTTCCAGTAGAAAGAGAAGAAATAACAGCATGCAATCACAATTTGTGACCTGAGAATCAAGCTCTTACTTCCTTAAGGAAGAAATTACAAGGAAGAAATACCACCTCCTTTTATCTGCTTATTTATTTTGACAAAACCCATTAACAACAGATTATTTCAGTTGGTTTAAAAAAAAAAAATCAGTAAAAATTTGTTACTAAAGAAAGCTGAAGTTACTCAATGCCTAAATTCTTTCACAAGTGCTCCTTTTTGTGGAGATGAACGTACCAAGCATGGTAAGATGATCATATCTGTGTCTACTGCCTTTGAACTCTGCTCCTCCAGCCTCAGACGCTTGCTGGGTTGCCACTTCTGAGCCAGAGTCCGGATCCTCTCATCTGTTGTAATTACATCTCCATCAAACCTTACAAGAGGCAAAAAGAAAACACACAGACCCATTTTGAACACAATGCAAACTAAATTAGTGCAATTACATGTAAATTACATCTTCCCACTTTTTGTTTTAGAAGGATTCATTAAACTCTGCCTATTTTTATCCTATCATATTAACCAGCTTTCCTGTTCTAACAAGTTATAAATGTTATAAAATTGCTCATCCCTGTAGGAACATGGCAGCTCCACAACATGCTTTGATTACTAGAAGCCACACAAACTCCCCATTCTTCCTCAGAATAATTTAGAGAGATAGGAGATCTATGGGAGATACAACACTGAAAAGAATGTGCAATGTATTTCAGAAGATGGTGACTTCTTTCCAGAAATACAACTTAGTAGGAGTTTCTTTCTTTACTTTTTCACACATGGAGACCAAATCGTATCCTTGGAATAACTTCTATTTGGCACCCCTTATATTTTAGGTTACCACCCACATCTAGTAACTCTGTTTTTCTGCTGGACCCAGTGTTTCCCATACCTCTTTTGAACCTCCAGGAAAAAAGAGTCTGTTCTTTTCATTTGCAACTCATACATGGCTCGAAGAATGTGGAGAGGTGCATTAAGTGCATCGTGTGTCATCTGAGCAAAGAGACAACAAAAAGAGAGACAAAAAAAAGACATTAAAGTTAAAAAGAAAGATGAGTTTCTTTAAGGATGATATAGGTATTATTTTCCCACTTATCACATAGGTAAAGAATTAATGAGCTTAATATCTGGATTAGTAAAAATTCAATGTAATTTAGCAAAAAGCTTTATAGTGATTTTGTAGTGTTCATTACTGTAGTTCTAGTTTATTTCCTTTAGATAACAATACATTGAAACCACAGGCCCACATTCTGTAAATTTAGAAGAAAAACAGTGATATAAACTACCAAATATTTTATGCAGATAGAAAATTCACAGTAACTTCAAAGGAGGTAAAATTAAGCTTAAGTACCAAGAAGCATATTTTGGTGGCTTCATCTAAACCCTCCAGAGGATCAAGTTTGTTCTGCTCCAACTCAACAGGAGCAACAATGGGTTGCTCTACATCTTGATCTTGTTCCCTTTCTTCCAGTTCAGTATCCTCACGTTCAGCCAGGGAAGTGATCTCTTTCTTTGAGGAATACAGCATTATTGACAAAATCTGCACAGAAAAAAAGGTAGCATATGGTGTGACAACTGTAGATATTACCAGTGTATCTGTAATCTGCACTTTATAAGAACATTTTAAGACTTGGACAGTGCTTAACACATACTATTCTAAACAGAAGCAGCACCTAAAACCAGACAAAAACCAAACCCAAGACACAAAACCAAACCATTTCCCACATCACAAATGAGTAACACCCTCCAGGCTGCTATAAAGACAACTTAAATGATTAGGCAGGAGTATAAAAAATGAAGAAAATAATTATTTAACCATTTCAGTACATCAAAGGCTTGAGGATTCTTAGATAAGAAGAGAGCAGAGGTGACTACCAGCAAAGAGCCAGCAATGCCCCTACACACACTTCTCATTTGAAAGCACACCTTTGGCTTCAGCACAGCCAACACGAGTACTCCTATCAGGAAGAAGAGTGTGTTACACACTTCCCTGGTGCTTGATTTGTGTCAGCCTCAGCTCTGAGGAGTGATGCAGGCAGACGTTTTCCTGTTCAGGGCAGGACACTGATTTGGGGGGATGCTGCCCAAAGGGGAGGAAGGTGGGACACCTCTCTGAGTCAGGGCTGGTGCTTTGGCTCAAGGTCAGGAAGATCCCACAGACCTGATCTGATTCTGCAGTATTTGTAACCAGCACTCAGAAAGAATGGGTCCACATGCACATTGATCTCCTCCTAATGCACCACAGTATTGCCTCCTTTGTCTATGTCTGAGCAATGCAAGCAATGTTTTTCTTGAGATTAGTTATTTTTTTTAAATTGAAGAGTGGAATTTTCAAGAAGAGTCTAAATATAATTCCTAAAAGGAACTGAGTAGGTGATTGATGCCTCATTTTGCAAGTTTCTTTCAAATACAATCCAATTAATTACGATCAACTCCTGCTTTAAGGAAATTAGATTATAATCTACACAATTATGCTGATTTAGGGATACAGTTAAGTGAAATGTTTTTATAAGGACTAATTAGAAATACTCTCCAGACTTCATTCACAAAAGGGAAGTGCAGTGCCATAACCTCTCACACCATTGTGTGAAGCCTGACTTCTTACAGGACATCACTTTTCTCACCTCCAGGTCTCTGAGAAGCCAGGTCTTACTGAAGCCAGTTCCTTTGCTACATTTCTTCACTAGAAGCTTGAGTAAACCAGACTGAAGAAAGGCAGCTTGGACCTCCTTAAAGCCATGAATCTACACACACAGAGAAGTAAAAAGGTAACAGTGCATCACAATGCTTGCAAGGCCCTATCACACAGCCCCAGATACATTTCCTGCCCAGATGTTCTACATTGGGAATCTTTTCCTTTCATCTCCCTAAAAACAACCCCCAAAACACAAATCCCACTTCAAATACCTTAACAATATCCTCTATGACACACACAGAGGAGTAACTGGATATCTGTTTTGCTCTACAGTCAAAACAACACAGATCCCCTCAAATACTTTATGAGTAAGAAAAGGGGCAAGTGAGCTTCACAAAGTGTTACCCCTACAAATTTCTTCTTCAGCTTTCCTGAAGGGTCAGCCCCCACAGAGGAAAAGCAATCCAACTTTCAGCTCAGACTCATGAATGCTATTTAAAGCCTAGCAGCATTTCCAACCTCCTACAAGAGAGGGGATAAAAGGAGCCAGCTGGGAGAGAAATGAACTTGTGTTAGCTCCCCAGCCTGCTTAGTCCATACCCAAGTTCCTAGTATAAGGTAGAAAATGAACTTTTATTTATCTATAACCTTCTATGAGTCAGGCAAAAGATACCTTAAGTGTTCTGTAAAGCCCCTTTAGGGCGAGTGACAAGACCCAAGTGGCTTCCACTGCCTCAGCATAGCTACTGTCCACGGTGGTCTGCAGAAGGTGTGTGGATATAAGCACAAAGTGCTGGAGATACTGTCTCAGCTGGGTCTGGGACTCATTGCCTTCCTGCCCACACTTCTGAATCAGCTGATAGTCTTTCACTGCAAGAGAGAGAACACACATTCACTGGGTTCATCTTGAAGTGTTGTGAAATCATCTCTTACCAGGAGACACAAGTAGGCTGAGACATGAACACGATCCATACATGAAGTACATTCTAATAATGGTCTTCTACTAAATTACCTCAGACTTGTTAGAGAGTCATGAAAATATTTCATTTTTCAGTGCAGGTTAAAAAAAAAATCCTAGGTAACTTCTGGCAACAGCTGATTGCACATATTTGCATATAAACAGTACAGCAGACAAAATTGTATTCTACAATTAAAATGGAGAAAATTCTGACCTGCAATTGGTATGCTGAATTTAATCTGATTTTACTATCAGTTAAAGTTTTAAAGTTTCACTCACTTAAAGCTTAAATTTCACATTCAAAATGGCATAAGTTAAAAATTTTAATATAAAAGCTTTTTTCTTCAATATCAAAAAGCAGTTTAGTCTGTTGATTTTTTCCCAAGTGTCTTTTAAACAACTTCAAAAGTCAAAACTTAGGACAACCTTTGTTTTATTAACTTCACAATATCAGGTCAGGTATGCCAAAGCTGAAAGCCCTCACTCCTAGAAATGCAGCTGATTTGTTACATGTGACATGTTTACCTTGACTAACTTTTAAACAAGGTAAAATACAGGCAGACAATTCTCTCTGGTACAACAAATGGGACCCAGGAGGCAGCATCTACCTCTGGGGTTTTATTCTTTTCTGGTGGGTTTCCTTAGTAGCCTTTACACACCACAATAAACAGACTCCACTGATGTGCCCTAGGACAGATTACTCCAAAATATCCAGACATTTCCTGGAGTACACACTATTTCATGCTGTATAGCTCTTTTTGTCTCAGATTTTAGGGTTATCCAAACTGTTCTGAAAAGCTCCTTCAAAGAGGAGGAAAGCAGAGAAGACAGACTCCTGACATTTTATAAAGCACATGACAACAGAAGTTAGGCCTGCAGATTTTACAGAATCAGAAAAAACAGCCAACCCAGCATCATTTCAGCAGCAACCAATTGCTAAGGGGTATGTTTGTGTTTGCTCTTGGCCTTCATTTCCCAGCAGGTAGCACATCTTGCCCACAGTAGAAATGCTCCCTTCATAAAAATGCAGAGTATTTTTTGAGCAACAAATGGACTATCCCAAAAAACCTGAAGCTCTGAGTATCTCTCCTTCCCAAAGCAGCTCCTCACTCTCAGAGGCAGCATGTACATTTTTTTCCATTTGCAATTGTTTTAAACCATTAAACCTTTTTGTAAAGGATAAGACATGAGCTGTTAGCAAATCCCCAAACAGAAACAATTGCTTAATCAAAAACCTACTTCTGAGATTTCTCAATTAATAAAATGGCCTCAACAGTTTCCTTAATCCTTTTCTGAATAAGTGTCAAGAATTTTAAAAAGAAAGTGAGTCTCCATAATTTTTACTGCAGAAGCTTCACAATTTGGTTTAACCTATGAGCAGAAATTGAGGTGACTTATTAAGAAGGGAATTCAAACTCTGCAGACCTGCACACAGTGGTCTAGTTAGAATATGCTTTGGGGTACCCATAATAACCTGCATGGAAATACTCTGATTCTCTGATAAAATAAAAATGTCACAGAACCTGTTTTTCTCTTTCTGGTTTTGATGTCTACCACGACTGCCCTGTTTTTCTCAGTGAAATGCTTCAGGATGATCACGTTGTGAGGCTCATTAGCATTATCCATGTACACAGAACGAGTCCCCATACACAGCACCTGAAATTGCAGCAAAAATCTCAGTTAGGATTTGGAATACTTCTCTGTAAATACAGTTGTCTTTTATAGTGGTTACATTTGCTTGTACTTGGTATTGTGTTTTTTAGCTAAATGATCTGCTCACTGACAGGTATTTGATGATCTTTAGGAAATGGCAGTTCACATCTATAAAAAAAAAATATGCCTACAACCACCAATTTATTGCTACAGAGGCAACGTATCAGAATTACAAGTATCAAGAATGAAACTGGATTGTTCCACTTGTATAAAAGCCCTTTTTGATATCCAAATGGACTAAGCTGGTTTTCTTGTGATAGTTGTAAGTAGCACTCAAAGAAATGTAAGGCAAAACCAGCTACATTATTCCTCAGGAGATAAACATTAATCATGGGGAAGTGGAAAGATGTGAACTCTGACACACGCTGTGTTCTGCCAGATCTCCCCAGCTGATGAAACCTGTAGTATTTAGAAACAGAAACCTAAAAGCTCAAACCAATTTCATTTCCATTAGTATCAACAGATCACTTACCTCAGGAAACCCAACCAGCACCAATAAAGTGAAGATATTGGTGTGCTTCAGCTGGAAGGGCAGTTGCTTTATGCAGTGGTCAGTGAAAGCAGCAATCACATCATGCCACTGTGCTGAAGAGTTCAAAGACCGAAGAATATCTGCCATGGAGCTCGCCCAGTCCAGACCAACACGACTGCAAAGCAAGAGCAGTCTGCATTAGGAGGGCTGGCTACACACTTACCTGGAACTATTTTTCCTCAAGATGGCATATTGCTGTTTTCCTCAAATATTTGAAGCTTTCATGTCAGCTGACAAATGAATTCTATTTCATTTTTCACCACTAGAGCATAAATACTCCTCTTAAAGGGTTTTCTTAAAGGGTGTCCAGTCCCAAACCAAAGTGTGCCTGAAGGCTGTCACCTTTAATTCCTAATCTTAGTTTAGAGCTCAGAAGTTTTTCTTTGCACAACAGCAAGTGCTTCATTTCCCCTGTATGTGACTAACTCCTCTCCCTCTGTGGGCTACACA